GTTCCTGCAAGCTGGTTTTGCACGGAGATATTAGATTAAATCTGCCAGCCATTTCATTTCATTTTTGCTTCCCTTCCATGACAGACGCTTTAAAATTCACATCACAGGTTGAGCAGACTCTGCAACCCGCTAACTAAATCAAGTCCTTTTTGGTTTAGGAATCGCTTGCGTCAACCAGGGCAAACACAAGACCTAAATAAATCATCTTTGGGGACGGGTGGAGGGACGGGACAAATGCAGCCACAAACCCAAGAAATATCTAAATAGTTGCTGGCACATTTTGCTTTTTTTCCAGAGTTTATATTTGCTGGAGGAACCAAGCTACACATAGAAGGGATATCAGCTTGCAGGATGGCGTGTTCTCTTTTCCAACGCACTGAGCCCAATCAGCAGCAGATAATGTCTCTCTGTGTTGATCCACCCCTCCTTTCTTGGCTCAGGCATGGGAAAGCTCTAACATTACCCATGGACAGCCCTGTCTTATACCTCCCAAAGTCAGATCAGCTTCGTCTGAGGGGATGCCGACTCATCAGTCCAACCCCCAAGGTCCCCAAGGGGATGAAGGAGGTCTCAGCACCACCCAAGACTGGAAATCCTTAAGTCAAGGAAGAGTTTGGACCACCAAGCACCAAAACTGAGGCCCCACTATTGAGCATTGCAGTCACACTTACATTTACAGTCACACTTACATTGTGCAGCTTGTAGTAGAGCCCGCAGGCGTTACAGACGGGATCACCGTTGGCATTTCTCCTCCACAGGGTGGTAGTGGTGGTCTGACAGTTTGCACAGGACGTGCCTGCCCTCCTGGCTGCAGACTGTGGGAAGGAGGGGGAGAGACAGGGGAAGAGAAGGAGAGGGAGAGAAAAGCACCCATGTTAAAAAAAAAAAAAAAAGATGCAATCAGCAAAATTGCTGAGAAAGAAAACATCAACCCTGCAAGACTGACGCACATCGGCAGAGGCCTCCAGAAACTGGCTTGTGAGAACAAATAATAATTCTGAAAAAAATCCCCGAGGTACTTTAATCCCAAATTATATATGAACTGAATCAGGTGCCAAAGGGCATCCTAAAAGTGAGTGCTAAACCTCTGATAGAACTCATCAAAATTACCAGCGCTGGCACAGCCCATTCCAGAGGGGAAAATATTATTTAAATGCCAACATGTCTTTCCATCTTAATTCTCTCAGACCCCCCAGGGGTCTAATTCTGCAGTCAGGGCCTGAACCAACAATTGCTGGAGTCAACGGCATGAGTCACGCCGGCTCCAGCGAGCGCCGGGTGAGACCTGTGCTGTGCTTGGTGGGCAGCTGCTCACCGGGTCCGACCGCAAGCACGGCCCGGTCCCGTAAATTCAGCTCAGCTTCAAAGGATACGGGCTCCAGATCGGAAATAACACTGTGGCAAAGAGTGAGAATCCCAACTTTTTAATTACACCCTTTTGCAGCCTTAACCTTCATGTTTATTTAAGGATTGGTAATGAGCCTGAAAGAAGAATTTACCATTTCATAAAGGGGGAGGGAAAAGGAAAAAGGTCTACGTGTCAAGGTGTATAAAGAAGCTTTTTTGTTGGCTGTGATAATGGTTTAGCAAAGCCAAATTTAGCAAAGTCGGTCCTCTTTTGCATGCATGAATTCGTGCCTACCATTTAAAAACTGTAATTTAGCAAACATTGTCCTTCTGCCACTGCAGGAGGAAAAGTAGTTTGCAGACTCCTATGTGAACGCGTATGCATGTTTGCCTGTGTGCAAGTGCCTACAGCTCCTAAAAAAAGTCCTTTAGATCCCTGTCCTATCTCTTCTTCATCAATATGACACAGTCCTGGAGCTCTGATTTCATCCCAATGCGTTGCTTTCAATGGGACTGCTCATGTGCTTAAAGTTAAAACATGTGCTTAAGCGATTTGCCAGATCATAGCAATGCTTGGCACCTTGCAGAACTGAGCCTTTAATGCTCTCTTTTGTGCTCTTACTGTTTCAAATTTACCCCTCACCCCACACAGCCGCACACTGTAGCACATCCAACATTAAAAAAAAAAGAAAAAAAATACCACATCTTTGGATACTGTACAACAAGCCCAAAATGCAAACATGGACACTGGCACAGCGCTAGCGTTAATACCAACTCTTGTTAGGTCATGTTGCAATTTTAATCATAATTTAATGCGGCGTAGGTGCAGAGAGGACGGGTTGGTTTTGTTTTAGATAGAGTAGGATTTTTTTTTTTTAATTAGACAAAAAGGACTGCCTAAAATATAAATAATATGATGCCCATGAGCATTAAGAAGCATCACAGAGAGCCTGATCTGACAGCAAGGGGCTCTCACCAGCTGCCTGTGAGGACAGTTCCATTTTGCCTGACCATAAACCACGCTGAAACGAGCCGATCTCAGGCCCGATGAGGCCTCTAGCTGACTTCTCCGTGCTGATGACAAGCAGGGGTTGGGAACGGCGCACGGGTCTTTGGTTGCCAAAATCCCAGCGCCAGCAGGAGATGCTGAAGCATCCCACCTCGAAGGGCAGAGCCCCCAACAGATGTGCGCACACGCGCCCCGGTCCTGTCCTCCTCTGGACCATGCCACAGCCCCAGATTTGGCTCCCGTCGAAATCCACAGGTTAATATGTGTGCTTCAAATGCAGCATGGCCACAACAGCTTGCAGAGCTGGCTCTCGCCGAGACCTGGGGGCCGAGTGTCCGGGTCTCTGCCCCCCGGCTCCCGCCGGCCGGCATGGGTGGCTCAGGGGTTGGATTGAGTCTCTCGGTGGCAGCTTTGCCCTTATCAGACCCAAAAATCAAGCCTAAGGAAATTTCTAAAAACCAGTGATATTTGACTCAGCCCACACAGGGGAAACATCCCCTTTGAAGATATTTGGGGTTTCTACACAGCACTCACCATAATTTCTCTTACGGTAAGTGTGTTTAAAAGACATGCCCGGTCACCACCTTGCTACCTTCAAACAAACTCTGACATTAAATAAACGAATAAATCACAACGTCCACTATCTTCTCTAAAACTTTTTCCATCTGCTGCATTTCCCCTACAAAAATTCAGCATTGTAAGCTGAATATTTTAAACTCTGTGCTCTTTCGGTCCCAGACAGTACCTTTCATGCTGTACCAACTTATACCGGAGACACCGGTAGCGGGCAGGAAGCAATGAATAATAACACTATTGTAAAAGCTCCCAGCACTGGCATCCACTGACGCTAGTCACCCACCTGAGCCTAACCATGTAAGTAATGGGATGACTAACAGGGTGCCCCATATCATCTGTAGGACCAGACCCCACGGCCCATTTGCATGTGAGCGAGGGCACAACTTCAGAAGCGCTGGCAGTGATGAGAAGGGGGAATTGAGGACGGCGCAGGAGGAACCAAGCACTGATAAAGATCCTTAATTAAGAGACACTTTCAGCGTCTGGATTTACATGGGGTACCCAGAAATCTGTAAGTATCACCTTCCTAAAAAAAAGACTGCACGTTCATAGGCCTTCTGAGAAATTGGCTGTAATCCTTCCAAAACCAGCATGGCCAGACACGGAAATGGAGAGCTCTGCATCCACATGGGCAGGGAAAGGAAGAAAATCCAAAGGAAGGTTTTATCTCGGCAACATCCGTGGCAGGGCTGCCACTGGCTTTGACAGGGACAGGAACGGTCTCCAGGAGGGCTGTAGACCTTTTAGGCAGAACAGTGGCATGGTACCACCTGCCCTTTCCTGACACCCCTGCCAACATCTCCAGATCTTCCACCTTCCCCCCAAAGCAGACATGTCTGAGCCCCCTCGACCTGCACGGCTCCATCCATCTCCCCTAAAGAAAGCCCTTACAGAGGCACCCATTGAATTTAATAAGGCTTGGGCTGGGTTCTCAGCACCTAAGGATTTATTTGCCTTCGCTCTCCAACCCGTCGGAGTCCTTTCATTAGTTTCAGCGTGCCTCGGATCAGAGCCTACACCACCAGCCCAAGGTCACACAGGAAACTTGTGGCAGAGGGAGAGGAGGACACGCTGGATCCCCGCTCTGAGCCCCCATACACACACCACCTTCCCCACCCCACTCGCCTTCACAAGTCAGGAAGGACGAAGCCAAGCCACGGGCACACGCACATCTACATCCGTGCACACAAAATGCAAACGCAGGCCCAGCTTTGGTGCCTTCTGATTTTTTTTTGGAGGGGGAGGTTAGCAAGGGAAATAAATATAGAGGCAAACAGAAATGTTTCTCCTTTTTTTTCCCAGGCTATGCTGGAGAATAAAAAAATATATAGAAAAATCAAAAGTTCCCATTTAACAGAGGCCGTATTCAAAGAACGGGAACTTGTTTGTATCTTAAACTTTAACTAAAATGCCCAAGACTGGAGTGACTATGCAAGGCAAGGTCTCTCTTCACTTTTTTTTCTTTCTTTGTCTTATGTTTTTTTCCCCCAAGAATGACCTTTTACAATGTATTTATTTATATAGTTCATTTTACATGTGCCGGGCTGAGGGTGACTCGGGACATTCTTTCATGGTTCCATCAGACACTTTTTGAAAGCTCTCCCCCCTTTCCAGCCGCTTTCCTATTCTGCCTCCCCCTCCGCTTGTTTGGATACGCTCAAGCTCCTGTGTGTTTGGGCTGGGGAAACGGAGCTGTTGTTTAGGAGTTATCTCCAGGGCTCAGATATCCGGCAGCTTTTTCCTAGGAAGTTAACTTTACACATAAAGAGAGAATGAGGCGGGGGGGGATAAAAAAGAAAATGAGGTGTGTGTGTTTAAGACAGAAGAGCCGGGGGGAGGAGGAGAAGAGAACAAGAGAGCTGCCCAAAAAAATTAAAAATCCCAGCCCGCACTTCCCTCCCTAGAAAGCTTTTCCTTTTTTCTAACAAGGCTATGAAAGACGAGGGAGACCAGCATTTTCCTAGACAGGAAAAGCCCAGGGGAAGGCACGGAGAGGTTTCGCCCGCGGGAAGTTTGGGGGTAGAGGAGCAAACCCGCATCTTCCCTAAACCCACGCGGCCAGCCAGAGCCGACGCCACTGCCTCTCGCAGCGGAACCCCTCCTGGGGTCGTATCCTGCAAACGCTTCCCAGCACCCATGGAATTAACACCGGTCCAATTTTGCAGGCGTCTCACAGGTGAGGAAGCCGAATCCACGCCTAAGAGTTGCCGGACCGAGGCCATGAGCACCCTCACAGGGAACGCGAGGCCAATGAACCACCCCCTGCCTGCCTGCACGTCCCGGCTGTGCCGGCCACAAGCCTCACGCCACCGGCCAGATCCATCCGTCAGCTCCAAAACTCCGCGGAGAGGTGAGAGCCGCTTTTCCTCCGCATTTGGAGCAGCCCCCAGGAGCCCGTCCATATCTTTAATCCTAACGAAACCAAACGTGCCTCAATTCAAAACATTCAATAGCTTCCCAAGCAGGGAACATATTTTTTTTCCCCAACTTGATATATTTTTTCCCTTTGTGGTTTGCCTGATTATTTGCCAAATATACTTCAACGCATTTATTAGCCATGCCCACAGCTTCCAGACCTTTTTGCGGCTTCCAGAGAAATTCATAAATGGATCGCTGAGGATGCTTCAACGTATTGCCTGTACATAGTACAGTCGTGAGGCTTGCAACTATTATTTCAAATATTTACCCGCACTTTTCGCCTTCCTTCAACTTCTGTGGCCCCGGGCACACGCTCGGCTTTGCACACTCATCGGGCTTTGCCATCCCCTACCTTATGTCTTTGCTCACACCAACTCAGAGGGGAATGACACAATTTGAGACCCACATGGCTCGGGTACAAATGACCACACCAGATTGGAGCGGCACCAGGACCATCAGCCAAGCGCTTTGCAGGACCAAGGTCCGGATGATGCTCCCATGGCACCCAGTACCCAGCTTGGGTCCCCCCTCCATGACACCGCCAGCCAAGCGGGATGGAATCACAGAATCATAGAATCATAAAATTGTTTAAGTTGGAAAAGATCATCCAGTCCAACAATTAACCTAGAATTACCAAGTCCACCACTAAACCAGCTAATGGTAGAGTAGTGTGGAGACACACTTGGGAGCAGGGCAACAGCAGTGTGGAGATCCCAGGAGAAATCCTGTTCTCCTGACAATCTCTCGGTGACTAGGAAATTATTACTCTGCCCTTAGCACCTGGAAAGAGCCGCCGTCCTTGTGTTGCCATCCAGAAGCACTGTGCAGAGGCATCTGCCCCATTGCAACCTGGGAGAAAACTTGTTTCTGATTTGCAAGAAGCCCTGGATCTTGTTTTTTTTTAACCTGTTTTACAGTTCCCAAGAGGACCAGACAACTGAGGCCCACAGTAGCTGGGAGCATCTCTCCAAGCATCCCCCACTCCCAGCCCTCTGACACAGTGGGACCAGATTTTGGAGCTGGCTGAGCTTCCCTGTCCATCCCAAGCTGCAGACAAGAAGCAAAATTGCAGAAGAAGGAAAAGAAAGAATAAAAAAGAAGGAGACTCACCAGCCTTCTCTTGGGTTTGATCAGGGGCCGGTTCTGCCCATTCATTTTGTGATAGAGTCCACAGGCATTACACAAATAGTGCCCGGTGCCGTCTCTTCTCCACAGAGGGGTTGAGGTAGCCCCACAATTTACACACTCCCTGCCTTCTGGAAACAAGAAAGCACATAGTTCACTTAGGGAAAGCAGAGGTAAAAGGGGCTGGGGAAAGTCCGTCCGTCCCCCCCAAAAAAAACCAACCACCCCCCAAAGAGAGCCAGCCATGCCAGACCCTGCCAGCCCTCTCCAAGCTCAGGGTGGCCAAGCAAGGGTCCAAGGCCATGGCTGGGGGACATCCCTGGCACAGGCTGGGGGGGCCTCATCCTGTCCCCCTTCCCAGCACCACAGGCAGCATCAGGCCTGTGTCCCAGCAGCAGGGAAGAGGGATGGTGACAATGACAACCCAAATCCCATGGTGGCTCGAGGGACTCCCTGGAGAAGCTCTCATCCCTCTTGCGGGTCCCTCCTTTGGTGGGGGGGCTGGCAATTCCCTCTCACCTCTGCACTAAGGGCTCCTACAGCCCTCCAGAGCCCGTGTTGCCGTATGGACCGGGCACACCCTGGCAGGCTTTGCGGGAGCCTCCAACCCCTCCCCGTGATGGATGGATAGCAAATTTAAGTCCCTGCCCCCCTTTCTGATGTGTATGGGGACCCCGGGGTGACTCCCTGAGCACTGCCCCAGCTCCCAGGGGGGTGCATGGGCCTGGGGGGGAGCAGTTCTTCCTTTGGCCTCAGGTCAAACCACATCAAGGACCCCCAAAATAATCACAGATCAACAATGAAAACACCTCCCCGGCCCCAGCCAATACACAACCTTAAGTCCCTGCCCCCCTTTCTGATGTGTATGGGGACCCCGGGGTGACTCCCTGAGCACTGCCCCAGCTCCCAGGGGGGTGCATGGGCCTGGGGGGGAGCAGTTCTTCCTTTGGCCTCAGGTCAAACCACATCAAGGACCCCCAAAATAATCACAGATCAACAATGAAAACACCTCCCCGGCCCCAGCCAATACACAACCACTCTGCCAATATCTGCTATCGATTAATTTGCAGTTAAGCTTCTACCACCCGACTTGCGGAATCTCCTCTGGCTTCCCCACCGTGACTGCAGCCCGATGGTCCATCCCTGACACTTGGGATTCCAAACAGCCCTGAGACTGCCCGAGCCCTGATTAAGGTCTTTTCCCTCCTTCTTCTCCTCTTTTTTGGCACCTCTTTATCCTCTCCCCAGCTATTGGG